AGCCCAGCCTTATGTATCACCCTTGAGTTACCTATTTCTGGGACAATTAGAGTTGAAGCTAATGAGTTTTCCTTGACTTCTGTCTCCACTCCCAGGCACTGAGTCCAGCAGCATTCCCAGGGGCCTCCGAGCCAGAGGACAATGTGGTCTTCACGGATTATGCCCTGGCCATGGCCTTCTGGGGTTCAGAACTCCTCCTGGATCCCAACAGTTCTTACCATGGCCTCCTATAACCGGGATCAACTTGTGGGGGTGAGGGACAGAGTTTGCTAGGTGGTTGGTCTTTCCCTTGGCAGGCATGGTGGGAGGTGAACGTAGCAAGCCCTCTACCCCAGTGAACTGCAACAGTGACACAGTTGGGGAACTTGGGGAGGGGTGGAGGGTTCCCCGGGGCCTTGGTTTTTAACTTTGCTCTTTTGTAGAAGGATTCTGAAAGGAAACCAATAAAATGCACCTAAGCCATTACTGCTGGGGTCTGAAAAGTGATCTGTTCATAGTCAGCACAGCATACCTCCCCACCCCAGACAAGGGGAATAAGATAGTTTCTGTGTTCAATTTGTTACAATATCACATGTCATGAAGTTTCTGGAAAAATTCACTGTATGCTCATAAGAGAACGAGAGTAGAAAAGACAAATAACATCTCAGTACTATGAAAAAAGTAATGACCACACGGATCCTGTGGAAGACTCCTGAGGATCCCCCAAAGTCCTTAAACCACACTTTGAGGACCCTTGCCTTGGAACTCTTCCTCCCTGCTCTCCTTCGCACCAGCTGGAATGCACCTTGGTGGACAGAAGTCATAGCAACCACAGAGTAAAGCTGCTGATTGAGGACAGGCAGGGCATTACAGGTTGTTTAGCATTCTTGGCTCTGCCCACTACTAGCCAGTACCAGTATGCCAACCCCTCACCCCACTTCTGACCCTCTCCCCACCCCCATCTCCTACCCCCTGACTTCACACCTCGGCAAGCTAGTCATTTGAAGACCAAAAACATCCCCTATGAAGTCAGAACTGCTAACTTGAGACAGAAGGTACCTGGAAGGAACTTCTTTCCTGCTATTTTGACCTTTGCAAAGCAGGCGCTATCTAAGAAATACTAAGTCTTTCCTGACATCTCCCAGGTACTATTAACAACTTGAAGTCATTCTGGAAAAAATAAAAAGTTTGGCTTGAATGGAAATTAGATTGAAGTCAAAATACTCCCATGGCTTCTCATACTATTCAGAGTGAAAGCCAAAGTCCCTCCTATGAACTCAAGGCCCTGCATGATCTGGTCTCTTCACTTCTCTGACTTCATCTCCTAATACTCTCCATCAAGCTGCTTCTGCTCTAGCCACACTTCTGTCCCAGGGCCTTTGCACTTACTGTTCCCCCTCCCTGGAATGGTCTGCCCCCAGATATCTGCCTGTCTTACTCCCTTATCTTCTTCAAGTTCATCTTTCCTGATTGTCCTATTTAAAATTGCTTCTCCCTATGATCCTTCCCTGCTATATTCTTTTTTTTTTTAATTTATTTTTGTTGTTGAGAATATACACAGCAAAAACATACACAAATTGAAGTTTCTCCATGTGCAATTCAGTGACAATGATTACGTTCTTCAAGTTGTGCAGCCATTCTTACCCTCCTTTTCTGAGTTGTTCCTCCCCTATTAACATAAACTCACTGCCCCCGAAGGTTCCTGTCTAATCCTTCAAATTGCTGTTGTCATTGTGATCCTATATAGATAGACCTTAAAAAAATATAATGCTCAAGGCAGATATTCTTTACTAGTTAAGTCAAAGTACTGTTTGGTTTTAAGGGGACTTCAGGGGATATTTTTAGTTTAAGGTTTAAAGATTATCTTAGGGCAATAGTTTTGGGACTTCAGCCTCCATGGCTCCAGAAAATCTTTATTCCCTAAGAATTTTAAATTCTGTTCTGCATTTTCCCCCTTTTGATCAGGATTCTTCTATGGAATCTTTGATCAAAATGTTCAGTAATGGTAGCCAGGCACCATCTAGATCTTCTGGTCTCATGACAAAGGAGGCAGTTGTTCATGGAGGTAGTTAGCTACATATATTCCATTTTTTCCTCCCATTCCTGACTCTCCTTCTTCCTCTGTTGCTCCAGGTGAATAAAGACCAATTGTTGTGTATCGGATGGCTGCTTGCAAGCTTTTAAGACCCCAAGCACTATGCAGCAAACTAGGAGGTAGAACAAAAGCACTAAACACGTTATTAGGCCAATTAACTGGAATGTCCCACAAAAACATGACCCTAAACCTCCAAATCAAGGAACCAAATTCTACCCTGTTGGCATAGTGGTTAAAGAGCTCAGCTGCTAACCAAAAGGTTGGCAGTTTGAATCCACCAGCCACTCCTTGGAAACCCTATGGGGTGGTTCTACTCTGTCCTATAGAGTCACTATGAGTTGTAATCAAAAGCAATGGGAAGCAGCCTCAGTAGCTATATTTTTTTTTTGTAAACATATCTACCACACACCTTTTGCCAATTCAGCTTTTTACAAGTGTACAACTTATTGACAGCAATTACAATAATCAGCTGTTCAACCATACCCTTAATCAATGCGATTTTTCCATCACTGTAAACTGAAACTCAGTAGTTCATAAGAAATTACCCCTCTTTTCCCCCTCCCTTCTGCCCCTGGTAATTAATAAATTTTGGTCTCTATACATTTGCCTGTTATTTTTTCTTTAATATAAGTGAGGTCATACAATATTTGCCCTTTTGTGATTAACTTATTTCACTCAGCATGTCTTCCAGTTCCATACTGTAGCATGTATCAAGACTTCATTTCTCTTACTAGCTGAGTAGTATATGTATATGTATATATGTACCACATTTTGTTTATCCATTCATCTGTTGATGAGCATTTAGATTTCCACCTTTTGGCTATTGTAAATAACGCTGCAATGAATATTGGTGTACAAGTATCCGTTTGACTCTCTGCTTTCAAATCTTTTAGGTATATACCCAGGAGTGGAATTGCTGGGTCATATGGTAGCTCTGCTTTTAGTTTTTTGAGGAACAGCCACACTGTTTTCCACAATGGCTATACCATGTTCTATTCTTCTTGAAAGCACTCACCACAATCAAACATTCTGTTTACTTTAGTTGTCTGTCTCTCCCCACTCAAGTGTCAGCAACATGAGAGCAAGGTTCTTTTGTTTCTTGTCCCCAGTCCCTAGAACAGCAACTGGTACATACTAGGACCACAGTAAGTATTTATTGAACAAGTGGCTATGTGTGTGGCAGCAGAAGCAGTGAGGATGGGGGTACAAGCAGGCCCCCAAAGCAAGGTTTATGATGCTGTCTGGGGCTCTTCTCACCTTTCCCTCTTTTCCTATGTTCTGCGGTGATCTCTTGTTTTCCTGGAAGCCTACCACCTCCAACAGATTTTCTTAAACTGAAACAGAAAGACGGAGCCACTCCTGCCCCCTTATAAACAACCAGAGCGATGCTTCTGTCTTTGGTAGGAAGTTCACAGCAAAGCCTTTGGCCATAACGATGGCATTAGGTTTTATTGTGACCCCATTCTCAAGGATACTTGCACGTCAAATACACCTTTCTGGAGAGGGCTGAAACCTAAATGCCGCCCTCTTTTGACCTATGGAAGAGGTGAAGTTAGGGTTGGGTAAAATGGTGGTCAAATCCTATCACGAAGCCCATTATCTACAAGCAACGTGGGC